TCTCTCTTTATCTTTTTCTTTTTTTCTTTTTTTTTTTTTATTGAAAGCATATAGTCACCATCGTTAACGACATATTAAAATATATATCACACATACATATACGTACATAAATATATATATATATATATATATATATATATATATGAATGTATACACTAGTATGTGTGTATAGGACATATTAAATATGAAGGAGGTACGGACAATACACGTATAACAAATTATTATCAACTGCAAGAGAAAGTTTCGAGATAACGTAAGACCGAGCATCGTCTATGGCTACTGGCTACGTGATTGGAACAAAGCATAGAAGAGTATAGAAAATAAATTTGAGCTTTTATCTCTTTCAATTTATTATATTTCATTTTTTTTCTTCATTTATTTATCGTTCAATCGTTGATAGCCATAAAAATTGAAATTAGCCAAGACAATGGATATTCTTCTTTTTTTTTCTTTTTTTTCTCTTCGTTACTCATCCTAATCATTTCTTTCTCATCCTTCTGACTTGTTTGTCGTTTTAGATTTATTAGTCGTATTGTTAAAAAAAAAAAAAAAAAAAAAAAAAAAAAAAAAAAAAAAAAAAAAAAAAAAAATAATAATAAGCAACATACGATTGCAAAACGGTCGAATTATTTTTTTATTTATTTATTTTCTCGTTCGTTCGTAAAAAAATAAAAAAAAAAAAAAAAAAACAAAAAATGAAAAAGGAAGGGAAAAAGTGTGGCACCGAGATTCGATTCTATTCGATTCAATTTTTGCCTTCAAAAAGGAATTCGTTTTACGTTCGAGATCTCGAAGTAGAGGTGGAGTTGCTCGTCGCATGGCGTACACGCAGTGCCGAGCTTCACGCTTCGTAACAATGCTCCGACTTTCTCCATCACTTTCATTTTCGTTGCCCGATTGCTCGAGCTCTTTCGTTCTTTCTCTCTCTCTCTCTCTCTCTCTTTCTTTCTCTTTCTCTCTCTCTCTCTTTCTATCTCTTTGTCAAATTGAGAAATAGTTGGAGAATATAAACACGCATTCAGCCTTTTTTCAGATATTGCATTGACAAAATTTTCTTTTTCATTATTCTTATAAATAACTGTAACGTGTTTTAAAATATAAATATGTTAAATGTTTAAAAAATTCGAAATTAAAAGTGATATTTAAATGTACTCGTAAAAATTTCTTAGAATTTCTTTTTTACTATGTCGATACAAAATTTCATTCAATCTTTAAAATATCACATTTATCATTTATAATATATAAATTTTTATAATTAAAATTTGTCAAGCTTTTCATCATAGAATTGTCTCGAAAGATTTCTTCATACGTATATTGATATATAATGATACTTCGATATATTTGAACGAATGAAAAGATATAAAAGATTTCTTTTTTTTTTTTTTTTTTTTTTTTTTATCAGCTAACAAATCGGATTAGCACAAGCGATATTCTGAAATTAATATTCAATAAAATTTGAAAATAAAGTTTGGAGTGTGATTAGTAAGGGAAAGTAGATTCGAGACATTGTATTGCTTTCTTTTCAACACGTATATTTTTTCGCTTTTTTTTTTTTTTTTATTTTTCCGTTGAAAAATAATGCCGTAAATCGTCGTAGGAAATAATAGAATCTGCACAAATCAACTCACTCGGCGCACCACTATCCTTTTATTCGCTAGAGGTATTTACAGTGAACTCGAAACTGTGTTCGGAATCCTTCGGAATCCATTTAAGAGGTCCGTGGGTATTATCGGGATCGTGGGTTGGTGGGTGGACTGACGATGAGATAAGAGAAATAAGGTGGTGGGGAAGGGGAGAAAGTGTGGGAAAGGGAAAGAGGAAAAGGGGAAAATGGATTTGAGGAAATTCGAATCGAAAGAGAAACCAAAAGATTCGCGGGAAAATCAGTCCACCCTTAGATTTTCTCTCATTGCCATTCGAACGTTCGTTCATTCGTTATTCGTACGAATTATAGAGAGTTTCCCGCGCAAAATGGTAAAAGAGATAGGTATGTATGTATATCGTTATCGTTATCGTTATTAATTGGATCTTAAATGCAGCATGGAAATTAAATTATTTCCAGTGTGCATACATCGATAGCGAAAAAAGTATGTATGTGTGCGTGCATACGTGTCCGCGGTATATTCGGGTTGTCTGTATACTACCCAATGCATTCTTTTCACTGTTTATACGTATGATTTGCCGCGTATGTGTATGCAACCCTAGCCAACCCTGTTCCTCCATTGAAACAACATTCACGAAATACAATTATCGGATTACATGACTATTTAGCCGTAGTAGGTACCGACGATTTTTCATTAAATTAATTAATTCGCTTTACAATTTCGTAAGATTTAAAAATTAGCGAGCGATAAATTCGTTATAAATAGTTTAGTTCGAGTAGTAAATTTCTTACTTGCTTTCCTTTCTTTCTCTTTTCTTTTCTTTTTTTTTTTTTTTCTTGGTTTTTTTTTCTCCCCCTCATTTCTCTATCACCCCCCCCCCCCACCCAAAAAAAAAAGAAGAGAGCTTATACTCGCTGTCATTTCGTTAAATAGTTTTAATAATATTTCTGAGAAAGTAGAGAGGCAAATTCGTTTCTTCGACGAGTGCTCTGTTATTTTTCGTCTCTCTTTCTTCTCTTCTTTCTCTTGTTCCTTTTTTTCTTGCTTTTTCTTTTTTTTCCTTTTTTTTCTTCTTTTTTCTTTTTTCTTTTTTCTTTTTTCTTTTTTCTTTACAGAGAGCACATCGGGAAATATCGAGGAGAAACGATGGGAAAGAGTGCGGGAGTGTGAGCTAGGAAAAGGAATAAGGATTATAATGATTTTTTTTTTTTTTTTTTTAATCGGGAAACATGCGAGACATTTAATAAACATCGAGTAGTTAGTAGAATTATACGAGCCGGCATTAATACGAGTTCCTCGAAATACTCGACTTAAAATTATTTGAGAGTCGATTTTTTTCTTTTTTCCTTTTTTTTTTTTCTTGTCGAAAATTCGATAATCTCTTTTTCTTTTCCTTTTTTCTTTTTCTTTTTCTTTTTTTCTTTTCTTTTTCTTATCAGCGCTAAATCTATTTGAAGATTATTTAAAGAATGAAAATCTACGGCGATGATTTGACAAGAATATTAAGAAAAATAAAGGAAGACGAAAGACATTCTGTCCTTTCTTTGTTCTTCTTTCTTTCTTTCTTTCTTTCTTTCTTTCTTTTGTAGTTTTGTTTACGCGCTCTTTAATAAAATTTCACGAAAACAATTTTGTACGAATCTTTATCGATTCGACTAATCGTACGAGAGTATCGATTTTCGATCTTTCGAAAAAATCGATCAATATTGCCAGGCCCATAATTAGAATACATTTAGAAATATTTTAGCGGCGATTAAAAATCTGAGTCGTCAAATTTTCGCTGAGTCGGGGCGCAATTTCAGCGTTATGATCGAGGGACGACGTAGGATCGAAATTTAGCGACGAGAGACGGCAGTGGCGGCAAATTCGAGCTTCCTCGCGCGTGACGTGCGTACCTACGTTCGACATGACTTTCGCGGTGTAGCTAATAGGTACATAACTACGAGTAAGAGACGTATAGTCAAACCGCCCATTTACGCAACCATCCAGTATACGTGCGCGTGCGCACAAACTCATACATGACTCTGTCTCTTTCTCTTTCTCTCTCTTTCTCTCTCTCTCTTTCTCTTTCTCTCTCTTTCTCTCGTACACATATGTACGCAATATCTTTCTCTCTTTTCCTTCGTGCGATTGTATTTGTATGTGTGCCTTTCGAAGGTCAAATACACGACAATAGGATTCCTAAGTGTGTCTCCGAGCCTTGCTTCTGTACATGTGTGTTTTTCTCCTTTTTTTTTCTTTTTTTTTTTTCTTCGTATATATGTGTGTATGTCAGTGCTCACGCGCACGCAATCTCTCCCCTTCTCTTTTCCTTTCCTTCCTTCTTTCTCTCTCTCTTTCTCACTCTCTCTCTTTTTATCTCAATTTTTTTCATTCTGTCTTTCTCTCTCTCTCTCTCTCTCTCTCTCTCTCTCTCTCTCTCTCTCTCTCTCTGTCTGTCCTCGGAGCTGACGATAATTCGAGACTTCGCAATCGTAATCGTTAATGAATAATAATCGAACGACTACACGTGCATACGCGCATTTACCGATTCGATCTTCCGCAAAGAATCTTTATAATTACGAAAAGAGAGAAAGAAAGAAATAGATGTTTTCTAAGCCTACCATTTGCCAAGATCAACGAGAAAAGGTTTCATCTCTCTCCCCTCTCTCTCGCTCTCTCTCTCTTTCTCTCTCTCTCTCTCTCTCTCTCTCTTTTTCTCTACATATATCTATCTATGTCGTCGTCTTAATTAGCAAAGGCCATAATTTCATAATTGCCGTTTTTGTCCATTGACTCGCTTAAGTTTTTTTCTCTCTCTCTTTCTCTCTCTCTCTCTCTCTTCTTCCTATCCTCCTTTCTTATCTTACGTGATTACAAATTCCGTAATACTATTTTCTTATTTTTCATTCATTTTATCCCGTGATAATCGTCATTTTAATTCTTATTCGTCAATTATAATACATCTTTTTTTCTCTCTTGAGAACTCATTTTATTTTCATTCCTTTTTTACTTCGACTGTTATATTTCGAAAAACGTAATTCATTCCGATGAATCATCATTATCGATCGTCCCATTAGATCGTACGTTTCGTCGTTTGACTCGTCTTACTTCGGAAGACGACGTATTGCCTAGCGACAGGCGCAATTCTCCTTTCTCTTTTTACGTTTCTTCCTCTCACAAGACCTTTGAAAACCATGGACGGACGTACACACATGTATGTACTTCGATCGCGAGATCGGATTCGCGAGGATTCGTCGTGCGGTTACCTAGACCAGATATAAATCGAGAAAGAAAGAGAAAACGAGAGAGAGAGAGAGAGAGAGAGAGAGAGAGAGAGAAAGAGAGAGAAAGAGAAAAAAGAGAGAGAAAGAGAGAGAGAGAGAGAGACAGAGAAAAGAAATTCTTATGGTGTGTTATAAGCGAAATATCACGAATATCAAAAGGGTATTACCATTGTTTCGCAAACTTGGCAGTGCAAATTCAATTCCATGTGATTTGATTTCGGAATATTTCATTTGATTATCGAAATTAGTCTTTGATTCGTATTAGAACGTTTCATATTTTGAACATCGTTTGACTCCTTTCAATGAACACTCTTCTAATCCGTGATTGTAGATTTATATGAAGCCACCGAGAGCGTCGTGAAAGTCCTGCAAGTAGGCGAGAAGTTGTGGCATCGTTGGTCGATCCCTCGAAAGGCCAAGCCAACAGACGGCCATAACGGCGAAGAGCTCATCGGGACAAGGTCTTGGTTGTGCCAATCGATATCCATCTCGAAGACAGACCATCATTTCGAATGGATCAACTTCAACGTATGGTTGTTGACCCAATGTTGCTAATTCCCAGAGGAATACGCCGAAGGACCACTTAATGAAGATAGAACAATTTTAGTGAGCTCGTTATATGAAATAGTTATTGCTCATTCATTTTCATTTGTACTCTATAGTATTGCGGCATTTAAGAGACTCGTCCTCTTAAAAATTAATATAATTAATATAATAAATATTAAGCAAAGATTTATAAATGTTATATCTAATAATATATATAATAAGATAAAATATATTTTAAAATTGATTTAAACAAGATATTAATATTAAGACATGGACGTAGCTTGTACTAATGATCGTATCAAGGAAACATTCGCCAATACTATAACAGATTATTGTTAATGAAAAAAATCGTACCACGTCCGTCGCAGTGCTATATTGATTGTGTTGAAGACTTTCCAAAGCCATCCAACGTATCGGTCTATTTTCATTGTCTCCAAGACAATGATAATCCTGAGGAAAGAGATCTCGAGCCAAGGCAGCATCGGCTAATCTAACACGAAGGCTGTTAGGTTCTATCAGACAATTTCTGGCAGCGATATCCCTAAAATTATGGAAATATAATATCGTTAGATCGTAATAGAATGATCGTCTTGAACAATTGTAAGGGGAACGTTTCTCACCTATGTAAGAGTCCGCGACCATGCAGAAAAGCTCCGGCTCTGGCAACCTGAGCACCAACGTTCACCAGATCCCTGGTCACGGGATGGTGACTTCCATCGGTAAGGTAGAGTTTCAGATTTAATTCTCCCTGCGTACTTGTGTACGCTAACAATGGGCAAGAACTGTCAAGGCAAGCTGCTGCCAAGGAGGCTATATTCGCATGTACCAAACCGGCTAATTGCGAACCCTCCACAACGAGCAACGATGCCTGATAAGCAGATGCTACCTCTGAAAGTTACGATATTTTATTTCTAATCGACCTTTTTTATTTATTTATTTATTTATTTATTTATTTTTTTTATTATTATTATCATTAAAATGATACTTTTCTAACAGGGGAAAACGTTCTCTTAATGTTTCTTCTTCCTCTTTTTTTAATTCTTTTTATTTTTTTTTTTTTTTAATTTAATCATTGATCACATGATTCAAAGTGACCATGAAAACTTTTATTTATTTTATTAAACTTGAATTCAACGTTCGTGAATATGTCCAAGCCAATTCGTAAGGATTTTTAATTCTCCATTAAAGATATTAAAGATTTGTTTGTTTCGACGAAGAAATTGAAATTTAAATGAAACTCGATCGATAATAGGTATATGAGATTTCCTACATTATCCAAAGTAGGTACTCATTGATCGGTCGTAGGTAAGAAAAATAATGAGAATTCGAAACTTTCTTGATATTTCTATGACATAATATGTCATATTTATTATCTGTTTTATATTATTTGAAATAATTACAATCAATTATTTCAAAATTGACTTTACCTGTCACCGTCTTGATGATAACTTCTTGCTCTCGACCACCCATATCCAAAGTTCCTCTGTATACACGTCCGAAGGTTCCCTCCTGTACGAGATTACGACAGTAAAGTGCCGATCTCGGTACTGAAAGAGCTCTTGCCTTTTCACAGGGGTCAGTTGACTGAAAAGTTTATCAAGCAATACGATTATATTTCTAATTGAAAATAAATGTTTTTTTTTTTTTTTTTTTTTTTTTTTTTATTATAATATATCACACAATAGAACAATTCTAGGTGAGAACATTTTTGTACGTACTATTAGAGAATTATTTCAAATGGCTTTTCTTTATAAATATGACATATATAAAAATCTTGTCATAATGTCTTTTAAATATAACATAACGCATGTATGTGACAGATAGATAAGCAAATAAACAAAAAATATATATATATATATATATGCATAGAAATAAAGATAGAGAGAGAAAATATAATGTTTAAATTAAAACACGTATCACGTTATTTCAAGGATAAAGAAATGAAGAAAAAGTAAAAGATGAAGAAGAAATCTTCCGACATTTCGTCACTGTACGTTGTCGACGTGTGTCCCCTTTGTTCTCAAACGAATTTCCATCGGTCCCTGTCGCGAAATGTAACGATGAAAGCCGACGTAGCACGGTATGAGGGCGGACTATTCATTAATTTCAATTTTACGGAGTTTTGCCTCCGGTTCATGCTGCATGTACGCTTATACGCCAACTTGTTGTATGTATATATGTATATATATATATATATATATATATATATATATATATATATATATAATATATATACATATTGTACACTCGTACATAGAACGTAGAGAATGAGAAGGGTAGCGGCGAAATAAAAGGAAGAAAAGCGGCGGAAAAGCGATTCCAAACGTGTTATCTCGTCCGGGTACAGTGAAGTTACTGGATAGGATGTATTCAATTCGAAAAAGGTGAGAAAGAGGGACTGAGGGAAAGAGAGATATACAAATAAATTTATTTTAATGTTCGTAAAGCGAAATTAGACAGCTTAAATGGGGAAGAATGAAACGTACAAGTTATTTTAAGTACAAATTTAAATGTAAAAACTTTCGTAATGTTAAAAAACATGTATGGGATTGTTAATATATTATAAATAAATTAAATTATATCTATATAATAAAGTATAAATAATATGAATTACATAGAAGTTAATATATCGATAAATTTTCATTTATCATTTCATTTATTATTTATAGAAATTTAAAGAAAATGAGAATTGAAATGCACAAAATCAGATAAAGAAAACATTCGTTGTATTTTTTTTATTAAGTATAATTACGTGATACAATTCGTTCTCTGTATAAATTAATATAAATTAGATATATATATATATATATATATATATATATATATATATATATATATAAAATGAAAGAAATAGAGTTGATGAATGTATAGATTACAAAAAAAAGGCAAAAAAAAGGAAGACGAGAGAAAGAAAGAGAGAGAGAGAGAGAGAGGGATGTTGTTCGGAGGTGTCGAGAGGGTCGTCTCGTCCAACGACGAGAGCGATTTTATGAAAATGCAAATACGTTTGATTTCACGGCTTATCGGGGTGGTGGTGGTGGCGGTGGTGGTGCCTGTAATTATAGCGAGGGTGAACTGCGAGCACAGTATCCACGAACAAGCGAGCATTGTTTCCGGAACGAAAAAGTGTGACGCGACGTGTTTTACGCTAGGCCGATTTTGCTTCTTCCCTCGAACTCGAATTTCCGCTTTTCTATTTATCTCTTCCTCGTTCTCCTTTCGTTCCCTTTCTATTTCTATCTTTGTTATTTCCGCATTCAGTTCATAACGCACAACAGTCGTCGTCAATCCTTTTATTTTCTCGGTTTTATTTCATACCACGTTATTCTTCACGTTTTCACAATCATCACACTTCGTAAAAACGTCGATTAATAACTTGACAAAAAATTTTGTCAACTAGCAAAATTTTGCATATGAATTTTTTCTTCTTTTTCATAATACCACTTACGTCGTTGATAAAGGAATAAAGAGGAAAAAGAAATAGTTAAAAGAAAAGAAATAAAGACATTTTTATTTTCCATTTAATACATTGCAAATATAGATATAGTATCTATCGTACGAGTACCTTGACGTTTTCACTCACCGCTCATAATACTGTCGTAATTATGTATATTACTGATATTCGTTATCTCGTAGGTATAAAAAAAAAAAAAAAAAAATTGAAACAATAGGATATATACGAATTTGATAGATTTCCGATAAAGACCGAAGAAAACACTTAAAATTTCCAATGCTAATTATTCGACAATTATAAATACCGATTCTTTAATAATACCAATTAACTACTATCTCTGTAATGATTAACGATAACGATATAGAAACAAATAAACATTTTCGAGTGACGTATAAGTCGTATTGGTAACAAATGTAATATCAGAAACTCGTGGAAAATCCTATCAACGAGCTTGGAGTGTGCTTGTAATGGAGAATGTCGAGTGAAGTAGAAAGAGAGAGAGAGAGAGAGAGAGAAAATATTTTAATACGACGACATGAGTAGACTACGAAACCCAAATAAATGAAAAAAAAAAAAAAATAACAACAAAAAAGAGAAAAAGAAAAGAAAAAGAAAAGAGAAAACTGAGAGAAAAGAGAAAACTGAGAGAAAAGAGAAAAAAGAGTAGTGACGGGGGTGGGGGGGAAGGAAAGGAAATAAAGAGAGTGAGTAGCGTCGAACAAGAGAAAGTAAAATAGAGATACAAAATGGATTTTAGTCAGACCGAAACGGAAGTAGATACATCGTAGGGACTAGAGAGGATAGGGGTGGGAGTGAAACTTTTATCCTTTTGTTCTATCACGATATCACGCTATCGATTCCGCGATGTGGCCGCAGGCAACCTTTTTTTCATTGGTCCGTGTGTGCACGAGGCAAGAGTTTGATTTATTTATCGAGTGGCTTTCGTCAAATATCTGGCCGGTCATGGAGGCCGTAGGCGCTTTAAAAGCTTCATTTTCAGGATACATTTGTGCATTTTTTTCTTTATCTCTTTCTATTTCCCCTACTCCCTCTCCACCTCTCTCTCTCTATCACACACACACACACACATATATATTATTGTTCTTTTAGTCGAACTTCGAAGGGAGAAATAAGTCGACGATGAGGATTCGATTTAACTCGATGAAAGTTGTGTCCTAACTTGGACTGAAAACGACGAGAGAAAACGTTGGAAAGAAGCTGCGAGACCGAGGTGAAAATTAATTAAATCCGAGAATCGGCTTAAGCGAACGCTCTCCGTTGTCACTCGTACTGCTCTTTTTTTTCTCTTTCTTTCTTTCTTTTTTTCTTACTCTTCTTTTTTTTTTCTTTTTTTTTTTTTTAAGGAAAAGCGAGGTGAGGTGAGTTGCGTATCTATCGTTTCTTCATCATCGTACATTCATTGGCAAAATCATATATAGAAGATTTATAGAAATATTATATGTGATTACTTCGTCGCAATATGAATATGAATTATAAATTCGATTACGTGATCGATTAAATCTATTGTTTTCATATATTTTAATAACTAATATAGCTATAATTTATAATATTACTTTAATTATATATATATATATATATATATATATATATATATATATATAAATTTATCGATCGTACAATATACTTATGTTTAATTTCGTGACGAAGAATCACGTTACACGTGGTATGTGTGTGTGTGTGTGTGTGTGTGAGAAAGAGAATTTTCCAGGAGATATATTTCAGATCTCGTGGTCCCTGAAACTGTCGTCCTTTAGACTCAGGTCAGGGAATATACCGTCTCAAGCGTATCGTTTTACCGGTACTAGAAGGATATATAGACTGAATGAGAGAGAGAGAGAAAGAGAGAGAGAGAGAGAGAGAGAGAGGGAGACAGGGAAGGGAGAGTAAAGAGAAAGAGCTAAGACGCACGTTAAAGACAAGAAGAGAGAAGAGTTCCTTCTCTCACGACCGCACAAGCAAGCGAGTATGTAACTTGTTCGTACTCTTGCATGCAAATTGTAATGTGTGCGTAGATAGAGGAGGTTGCTTTTCTGTTAGGGCCAAGACACATACACACTTACGTACGTCTCTGCTACCCCGGTAAATTGATCCAAGATCAAAGCCGAAACAATCACAGGACCCACTTTCAGCCACCCTTTGCCTTCCTATCCCTCCTCTCATCCACTCCTTCAACCAACCCACTACCACTTCCTTCTCCTCTTCTTCGAAAGCAGTTTAGAGCTTTGACGAAGAAAGAGAGAGAGAGAGAGAGAGAGAGAGAGAGCGAGAGAGAGAGAGCGAGAAAGGAAGAGGGGAGAGAGAAAGGGGGGAAAAGGGAAGTAACCGTGTGTGTAATCTTCCTGCTTTCTCTGGCAGCCTCTGCCCCCCCCTCCCCGTCGTTACCCTCCCGACCCTTCATCACCCTCTTCTTTTCGAGAAAATTAACGTAAAACGTTGCTCGTTTCCATCATACTTCTCCCTTTCTAAAATATAAACCACCTCCTTATTATATATACCGTTTCGGTCTCTTTGATAAATTCGATTAACTTTTATTTTGTTTTCTTTGATCATTTTTTATTCCCTTTTTTTTTATTCTTTGATTTCCTTTTCCTTTTTCTTTTTTATTTAAAAAGTTTTAAAGTGATATTATATGAAGAGATATGTTAAATGCAAATGGTACTATGCAATCGTTTAGTTTAGAACGACCTAATATTATGATTGTATTATTATTGTTATTATTATTATTATTATTATTATTATTATTATTATTATTATTATTATTATGCAATGCATTTAGTAACATGTTTTCTTAACAAACGTTTTATTATTATGCAAATACGAATGGAATAACCCAAGGAAAAGGACAACGATGATATGATAACTTTAAACATCTTGCGTGAGTTTCTCTCATTCTTCTTGTTTTCTAACTGCCTACGTCCTTTAATATTAATTTTGAAAAGTTGTCTTATCTCGTCCTGTTGTCTCGTATCAACTAAAACGAATCCGAGAAATGGCGCGAGACGGAAGAGTCAAGGAGAATTGGAATTTTCGATGGGACAAAGTGGTATAGAGTATGTATGAGAGAAAAAGGGGAAAAAAAAGAGACGGAGAAAAAGTGACCGAGAATGAAAAAGAAAGAGAGAAAGAGAGAAAGAGAGAGAGAGAGAGAGAGAGAGAGAGAAAGTGAGGAAGAGAGGGAAATAAAAGATAAATAAGAAAAAAAGGAAAAGGAAAAAGAAAGGCAAAGGAAAATGACTACACGTGTAGATATGTATTTCCGACAAGGGCCGAATCTCGTTCGGGTCTCTCATTCTGTATATCTATATACGTGTGTATGTCTGTGTGTGTGTGTGTGTGTGTGTGTGTATGTACCTACCTATGCTCGCTTTGAAATAGCTGAATAAAGGGCACGAAGAGGTGGGAAGGATCGGTGTAGGAAAAGTTCACCCTGGCAAGCGGCTCGCTCGTCTGCGAACTCGATAAACTTTTGAACGTGGATTTTCTTGGTGTATACGAAAAGAGAGACGAGACGAGACGAGACGAGACGAGACGAGACGAAACGTAATTCGAATAGGAAAGAAAAATGCGCTAGAGAGAACGAAGGAGATGTTTTCTCTCTGAAATCGTGAG